AGAAAGAAAGAAAGAAAGAAAGAAAGAAAGAAAGAAATAATAAAGGTGATTAATTGCAACATTCACACTTGCCTCCAACAGACAAGAGTTCTTTCTCCCACCCTGGTCATCATTCCACAGATATATAAACCTCCCTTCCTTAGTTTCCAACAGACCTCACAACCTCTGAGGATGCCTGCCATAGATGTGGGCGAAACGTCAGGAGAGAATGCTTCTGGAACATGGCAAGACAGCCCGGAAAACTCACAGCATCCTGGTTTATGGGAAATTAGAAAAGGATTCTGCTATGATTAAAGCATTGAGTGGTGGAACAGATAACCAAAAAGCCTTGCTAGTTCCCCTTTCACGAGTTCCTCTTTCAAAATACCTGGAAGTAGGGACAGATCTGGTCTTTCCTGTTTCTCTTCCTCCTAGGGGCCTTGGCCAAGTCGTGACTGACTACGTGCACGGCGAGGCGTCAATCCGAGCGGCCAACGCGGGCCTCTACCTGCTCTCCATGGCCACCTTTGCTGGTCTCTGCTATTTCAACTACCACGACGTGGGCATCTGCAAGGCGGTGGCGATGCTGTGGAGCCTCTGAGACGCGGCCTCGCCTTTCGGCCCAACGCAATGATTGTACACCGCTGCCTCTGCTTCATTGTATTATTCCTGAGTCATTGGATGAGGGAGAGATAGCCATAAAGGGTCCCGTGTAGCGCGGCTTGGAGAAGGAAGGAGGCCTGCGACTGTCGCCGTCCAGCCGAACCGGGGATTTCCCGGCAAGCCGCGAATTTCCACTTGAAACAGGCTAGAATCAGGGAAGAGCGGAGAGGCGAACCAATATGATTGTAGTGGCTGCCATGGCCGATGGCTGGCACTCCCCATCTCATATGGCAGCTTGGTTTCAACGGATGCTGTATAATGATTTTTTAAAACCCCACTCCGCCTCTTCTGATGTTGCCCTTAGTGATGTGTATCCATAGCATCTTGTGCATTGCTCAGGCAAGTTGCAGTCAAAAGGGAAGACCGCTGTTTAATTTCTGTACAATAAAGAATTTACACAACCCTCAGCCATTTGGTTCTGAAAGCAGTTTCTTACCCTTGGAATGGTTGTTGACATATTCTCATATCCCAAGGGGAACTCCAGGTTCTGTCTGGTGGATTAAGCAAGGAGTGCTTTCATTGGCTCAATGGGTGTTAAACCCTTTTGCCGGCAGGACTGCTGACCGAATAATAATAATTTTTTATTAAATGTCAGGAGCAACCAGACATTTGTATTACATTTTTAACAAAACAAACAAACAGACAAAACACAAAGTTTGCAAGCTTGGTAGTTGATTCAATGTGCTTTGACCAGTATCTGGCCACTTGGAGTGCCTCTGGTCAGAGTGGCCCCTGGTCAAAGTGGTTCCTGGTCAGAGTGGTCCCTGGTCAGAGTGGGCCATGGTCAGAGTGGTCCCTGGTCAAAATAGCCCCTGGTCAGAGTGGCCCCTGGTCAATGTGGTCCCTGGTCAACGTGGTCCCTGGTCAAAGTGGTCCCTGGTCAAAGCGGTCCCTGATCAAAGCGGCCCCTGGTCAAAGTAGTCCATGGTCAAAGTGGTCCATGGTCAAAGTGGCCCCTGGTCAAGTGGCTCATGGTCAAAGTGGCCCCTGGTGAAAGTGACCCCTGGTCAAAGTGGCCCCTGGTGAAAGTGACCCCTGGTCAAAGTGGCCCCTGGTCAAAGTGGCCCCTGGTCAAGTCGTCCCTGGTCCAAAAAAAAAGGTTGGGAACCACTGATTTACTGGGTGCTTCTCCAAAATGCTTTGAAGACTTGCACTTCTCTCTTTATTTAACCTCCGTGGTCAAATGTTTTCACTCTGAACACAGCTGAGTTGGCCTTGTTCCTGGCTCCAAATTCTTCCCTTTTGGATTTTTTGGGGTGTGTGTGTGAAATACCACATCTTGTTCCTCTTAGCTCCAGTTTTGGAGAAGATGTCACCTGAAACCTTTATTTCACTTGCCATGTAAAACAAATTCATTGAAGACTTCTGTGTGGTTCGGCTTTCTAGAGGATATTCAGAAGTTCTCATAGAAAAAGAATTCAAATGAACAAATATGCTAACTGATAATAAGTTGAAATTGTGCAAACATTTCCAGGATCTTTGTAATGCTTATTTTCCCTGAGCGGGAAAGAATATCACTGTCTGTATTTCTAAGGTGGGCTTTTCTGTTGCGTAATATCCTTGTGGTTTCTGGGCCAAGTACTTTTGAAATGATTTGGATTGTTTTGGGCGAGAACAGCAACTTTAACACAGCGCAGTCTCTTACGAAATGACCTATTTCTGTGTTGCTACGCTGCATATTCCACTCATTCCTCCTTTCTGTGTGAGAGACAACATAGTGATAAATGAGTCACCGGGAATGCATCTGTTGTAATAAAGGAACACATTTGTTGTGTCTAATGGAGTGGCAGTTTGGTGCCGCAGTAAGATTTATATTAATACCGTATTTATGGCACTTCCTCCCATTAGTATTGCTGTAGTCAACTTCTCTTGCAAACAATATAATTGGAAACAGCTATTGCGAACCTCTAACTCTTGAATATTTTCAGTCTGGTCTGCAAGATGCTTTAAGCCAAGGAATGTTCTCAGGCTGCAAACCTCTTATCATTGAGCTCTTATGTTTGTGGAAGGCGAGAGTTCACCGAACTTTCTGTGCCTTTCTTTCCAGTGAAAATACTTCAAGCTTGGAAAAATTGACATGTCTTACATCGAAACAGGTTGCACTTGTCTCATAGAATCCTAGAATTGGAAGAGACCTGGTGGGCCATCCAGTCCAACCCCATCCTGCCAAGAAGCAGGAAAATTCCATTCAAAGCACTCCCGAAAGATGGCCATCCAGCCTCTGTTTCAAAGCCTCCAAAGAAGGAAATTGATTTTGTCATTTGGGAGTTGTAGTTGCTGAGATTTAAAGTTCACCTACAATCAAAGAGCATTCCAAACTCCACCAGTGATGGAATTGAACCAAACATGGCACATAGGACTCCCATGACCAACGGAAAACACTAAAGGGGTTCGGTGGGCATTGACTTTGAGTTTGGGAGTTGTAGTTTACCTATATCCAGAAAGCACTATGGACACAAACAATGATGGATCTGGACCAAACTTGGCACAAATATTCCATATGCTCAAATATGCTCTAGATTGGATTACTGTAATGCGCTCTACGTGGGGCTGCCCTTGAAAATGGCTCGGAAATTCCAACTGGTCCAACGGGCGGCGGCCAGGATGTTAACTGGCGCTCCTTACAGAGAGAGGTCAACCCTCCTGTTTAAGGAGCTCCATTGGCTGCCGTTTACCTACCGAACCCAATTCATGGTGCAGGTGCTTACCTACAAAGCCTTAAACGGTTTGGGACCTGCCTACCTGCGTGACCGCATCTCCGTTTATGAACCCACGCGCTCCCTTCGTTCATCCGGAGAGGCCCTGCTCGCGATCCCACCTGCGTCACAGGCGCGTTTGGTGGGGACGAGGGACAGGGCCTTCTCTGTGGTTGCCCCCCGACTCTGGAACACCCTCCCCAAAGACATCAGACTCTTTAGGAAGAACTTGAAGACCTGGCTATTCCGATGTGCCTTTCCAGAATAGGATAACCTCCAGCACTACGTCCCAGAAGCACTTTATTAGAGTTTAAGACTCTCTGCACATTGCACTTGCCCAGAATCCCAACATATCACCTTTCACACCCAGCACTTTTTAACCTGTACCCTTCATTGGCCCAGCCTTGGTTTTATTGCGTAATAGTATAATGTTTTGTTATTGCTTATGTTTTTAATTTGCTTTGTATCGTATTGTTATTGTCTGTTGTTGTTGAGGCCTTGGCCTTTGTAAGCCGCATCGAGTCCTTCGGGAGATGCTAGCGGGGTACAAATAGAGTTTAATAATAATAATTAATAATTAATAATAAAATAAGAATACAGATGGACTTTGGGGGAAATAGACCTTGATATTTGGGAGTTGTGGTTACTGGGCTTTATAGTTCACCTACAATCAAAGAGCATTCTGAATCCCACCAATGACAGAATTGGGACAAACTTCACACACAGAACCCCCAAGATCAACAGAAAAAAATGTAATTTCTTAGCCTGGAAAGAGTCAATCCAGCTTGTAAAACATGCTAAGCTGCAGAAAGAAATCTTTAGAAAACTATCAATCCCCTTTAGCTATCCAAAAACAGCCACACCAAAATCAGACTGCATAATAAACAATACAAATATTGGGAACCACTCACTCTCAAACTTAGCATGAGACTTGGTTAGCCAGGTATCACAACACCCATCCCTTTGACGAAGCAGGAGGCACGTAAGGAGTAAGAAGAAGTACACAGAAACATAGAAGGAGATCTACAGGATCACACAGAAAGGGTCCTCCAATATCCAATCATGGCTAACTAGATGCCTCAGAAAAATGACAATCAAAGCAGAGCACAAATGCTATCTGTAAGTATTACTTTCCAATAAATGGTATTTCATAGAACCATAGAGTTGGAAGAGACCTCGTGGGCCATCCAGTCCAACCTCATTCTGCCAAGAAGCAGGAAAATCACATTCAAAGCACCGCGACTGATGGCCACCCAGCCTGAGCTTGACAGCCTCCAAAGAAGGAGCCTCCACCACACTCTGTGGCAGAGAGTTCCACTGCTGAACAGCTCTCACAGTTAGGAAGTTCTACCTCATGTTCAGGTGGAATCTCCTTCCTTTCCTGTAATTTGAAGCCATTGTTCCATTGCGTCCTAGTCTCCAGGGTAGCAGGAAACAAGCCTGCTCCCTCCTCCCTATGACTCCCTCTCACATATTTATACATGGCTATCTTGTCTCTTCTCACCCTTCTCTTCTGCAGGCTAAACATTCCCAGCTCTTTAAACCTCTCCTCATAGGGCTTGTTCTCCAGACCCTTGATCCTTTGAGTTGCCCTCTTCTGGATACATTCCATCTTAAGAGTCAAGCTCTTCCTTCAATTGTGGTGCCCAGAATTGGACACAGTGTGATTCCAAGTGTGGTCTGACCAAGGCAGAATAAAATAGTGGGGTAGCATGACTTCTCTGGATCTAGACACTAAACTCCTATTTATGCAGGGCAAGATCCCATTGGCTTCAATGGGTAACCTACTGATTTGATTTGTAAATAGCAGCTACCGGTACCTCTATATCCACCTTGGTTACTGAGCAGGAAGACAGAAAGGAGGCAAGTATCAATACAAGGATAAAACAAACACCCTCCAGCACCAACCGCTGCTCTGAGATCAGAGTGAAGAGAGGGGCCAGGAAGGCAGTTCCATCTTGTCTCCTGCGCTGTGCTTAATATAATATAATATAATATAATATAATATAATAAATATTATAATGCAATACAATATACTACTACTACTACTAATAATAATATAATAATATATTTTATATTAAATGTAATATTACTAATATTATAGTACAATGTAATATATAATATTAATATTGTGCTATCATAATAATATAATATATTGTATTTATTTTTTACTTGTTAGCCGTTCTGAGTCCCCTTCGGGGTGAGAAGGGCGGCATATAAATGTCGTAAATAAATAAATAAAATAAACATAGTCTTTAAATATGTGCAGGGATTGAGAAAACTTTAAGAAGTGTCGAATTGATTTTTTGTTAAGACTTCTTCTGAGCACTGCAATAAGTGAAGGCAAGTGTTAAAATCCTTGGAACACGTCATTTATTACATTATTTTAGCATTCAGATTCACCTCGAAATTTATAATTACGATTCTTGGGTTGTAAGTTGCTGCTCATTTAGTTTCTCATTTAATTTGATTTTTTTTATCACGATTCTTCCATCATCAGTGTAGCCTTTCAGCCCCATGCTCTCTCAACAGTACAGTATATGGTATATTATAAAATTTACTTAATTTAGGAACAAGGATTATTCATGTGTTTAGGGGGATGAGGCGTGGTGCAGCTCTGTGCTCTGGTCCACTTCGTCTGAGGCTTTTTTTACAATCAGTCTTGTGATATTGTTCTCATCCTTCTCAAAAGCGAGGAAATAACCTCGTTCCAGGGCAGTTTCGAACTTGTAGAACTGACTGCCACCTTGAGAGAATGACGTTTTGTTGAAGATCACGTTGCTGGTTTGCCCATCAATACGTTTTGGCACATTTCCTTCCTGAAACAGAAAGAATATGAGATAGATAGACATAAAAGAGGTGGGTGGGAATTACAGAACTGGAATCTGAAACAAGACACGACAGGATAGAACACACACTACAGACTAGAGCAGTGGTTCCCAACCTTTTTTTGACCAGGGACCACTCTCTAACATTAGTACCAAAAGGGTTACAAATCAGTTTTTGGTCAACTTTAGATTTGGTTTGGTTATTTGGGGTGCTGGTTCAGAAAATGCATTGGATAGACCACATCAGCTCTAGTTTCCTATACAGAATCTCTCAACCCTTACACCTGATTTTTTTTTGTGCGGTACTGTGTCCCTCTTCTCATGAACTGGTAACTGACTGTAATAAAGTGAACTTAACTTGCTCCAGAACATATGCCATCCAATAGTTGCCATCTGCTAACCCCAGCACTATAAGAGAGTTTTGCATGAGCGGTCACTCCCGTTGCAACTGTGTAGTAACGGTGAGGCCATGGACCATATTTTAGTTGTTGCAGACCATTGGTGGTCAGTCAGCGGCATCGGCCACACAGCAAGGCAGGAACACAATCAACACAGCCACTTTAGGCTATAAACTACTTTATTTTACACTATATACATCAGAAGCTACTTAACACTAAGCACTCGTAAAACTTGCTTCACACCGTCCGATTGTAACATTGCGAACATACGAACTGCAGTTACCAGTACTAGTCCACACCTCCTACATTCCAGAGTGACGTATGACGTACGACGCATGAGCTGTGTCCATTTGCTCTATACACTAGATTTATGACCACTCTAGGAATGCCGTTCCCTCCATGGTTCAGTTAACTCCACACAGGAATACACTCGGCACATAGCTACTGCATTTTAAACATACATACATACATACATACTTTGAAATCTACATTACATATTGCAAACAACTTAACATCGTCCACGGACCACAGGTTGGGAACCACTGGACTAGAGAGATCCAGTGATATAAATTAAAAAGCCATTTTCTTCTATTTATGACAATTAGGATGTCAATGTGGTAATAAAACTTTGATGGATTGCAGCCATAAAGTAATTAGCTTTATTTATATTATTTACACAAAGAACATCGCAGCACAGAGCAAGCACGTCTGCTCCAGCAAAGTCATCTTGGCAAGATGGCGATTATAACCTTTTCTAATCAGTAACGGCACAGAGACTGGGCCTGACAGCAGGAGCTCACCCCACTCCCCGGATTCGAACTGTCAACCTCTCGGTCAGCAAGTTCAACAGCTCAGCGGTTTAACCCACTGCGCCATTGGGGGGGGGGGGCTATAAATAAAGCTTACTCCTCAATTTAACTTGTCACAGAAAATTCGTAGTTTGGACAAATCATGGTGGAGCAGGACATAATCATCATCTTGATCATCAATTATTATTTGCCTCTCCCTGTGGCTTAAATTTGGGTACAACAGGGTTAAAACAGAATGATAAAACATAATACTATTAAAATAAATATAACACAAGACCACATTCAAACTAACCCATTAAGTACATATATGGACATCATTGTGACTATGTGATGGTGTTTATTTTACTGTATTTTTCCAAAAGCTTTCAAAGTGTATTTCAAACTGAAGAAACAGAGTTAGAATATGATGATAGAATCTTTTTTTTTAAACTAGAGATAGCTCTTCAGTCAACTTTGATGCAAGTGGTGTTTAAAAAGATTCATTTGCTGTGTGGGATGGATCTACCACTCACCTTAAATTCCACCTTCATATGGCTGTTGCTTTTCACCACACACATGTAGTACGTTTTGTGGTTCCATTCAGTGCTGAAAGCCACCGACAGCCCTCTTGGCCTTGAGTCTTCATAGATGTGAATGTTGAATTTGGTTCCAGGTACTGCAGAGAAGGAGCATTATGCTTAGGGCTTTTGACTATAAAACTAAAATGCATCTTAGTTTTGTGTGGCACTTTTGTTTGGTTGCTCTACCCAGCAGGTGATTTGATCAACTAAATCTTTTGAACCATTTCCTTGCTGTGTTGTCAAAGACTTTCATGGCCGGAATCACTGGGTTGCTGTGAGTTTTCCAGGCTGTCTGGCCATGTTCCAGAAGTATTATTTCCTAACGTTTCCCCCACATCTATGTCAGGCATCCTCAGAGGTTGTGAGGTATATTGGAAACTAAGCAAGGGAGGTTTATACATCTGTGGAATGATGTCCAGGGTGGGAGAAAGAACTCTTGTCTGTTGGAGGCAAGTGTGAATGTTGCAATTAATCACCTTTATTATTTATTTATTTATTTATTTACGACATTTATATGCCACCCTTCTCACCCTGAAGGGGATTCAGAGCGGCTTACAAGTATTATATTACATTCAATATATTATATTTTTAGCATAGTACAATATCAGCATTAAACATTGCTATATTGCACCATACCACTTGTGCTGGTATGGCTGTACCAGGAGCTCCAACTTCCTTTTCTTTCTTTGAGTGTTTGCATGCATTCCAAGGTTCCATGCATTTTGCAATAAGGTGGCTTCCCTTGGTTTGCAATTATAGGGAAAATGACCCATCAATCATTGTTAAGTTTTGGTTCCGCCCCTTTCCCCAGGGCTCTGGGAGGAGAGGGAGCCATTTTAGGTCAGTCTTGCATTGGAAAGCTTAGCTACAGGACGTGGATTAGCTCCACCTGTAGAGAAGCTTCGTTTCTCACAGCATCTGGGGGAAAACAGTTCCAAAGGACTCCAGCTGGAGAATCTACAAAGCCTTGACTGGTAGGTCTACTCGGGACTCAAGAAGCAGTTTGGAGCCGGAAGTAGAGCCCACACCAGCAAAGTTTAGAAAGTAGATTGCCCAAGGAGGGGTTAAAAAGGGTTTTCCTCTTAAAGAAAAGAAACAGTTCACAAAGCCAGTTGCCTGTCCCTTGTGAACAAGATTAAGAAAGCCACCAGCTGATTCAAAGCCTTGAAGCATTTGTTTAATTTGTTGAAGATCTGAGAAGTATTTGATTGTTTTGTTGAAGACCTAAGCAATAATAAAGGACTTTGTTAAACTTTTTAAGCTTTCTATAGGAAAATCCTTAGGGCCTCTCAGCTGAGGCACCCCGGCTTCCCGCTGGGCACAAAGAGCATGTCCTGTTCAAAAGCCAATTGCTATAGGCCCAGGGCGTGACAGCACACCACTATATCGTAATATTATTAGTAATATTACATGTAATATATAATTATAATATCATATTATTATATTATATTATATCATATTATATTATATCATATTATATTATTAGAATAGCACAGGAGACAAGGTGGAACTGTCCCCTGGCCCCCTCTCTCTTCACTATTAGCATTGCAAAGCCTTGCTGGTTCCTGCAAGGGGGAGTCCTTTGTTGGGAGGTGTTCTTACCATACATCGGAGGCACTGACCACATAGTAAAACTGATGAAGAAAGACAACCTACAAACTATCTACAGACCAACAAATCCAACAAATGCTACGTTCAACAAAGGACAAGAGGGATCTTCTCACCTCTGCAGGAGTCTACCATATACCATGCAGCTGTGGACAAGGCTATGTAGGGACCACCAAATGCAGAAGCATTGGGCAAACACGAATCAAGGAACACAAAAGGCACTGCAGACTAATTCAACTAGAGAAGTCAGCCCTAGCAAAGCACCTGATGAACCAACCTGGACACAGCAGATTATTGGAGAACACAAAAATGCTGGACCACTCCAACAACCACCATGTCAGACCACACAGAGAAGACACTGAAATCCATAAGCATATGGACAATTTCAACAGAAAGGAGGAAACCATGAAAAGGAACAAAATCTGGCTGCCAGTATTTAAAAAACTCTAAAATCAGAAGCAGTGAATAAAGAACAACACTCAGAAAACAGGGGCATTCTAGACAGGAATCAATCAGGGCTAGCCAACACCTCTCAACAAAGGATTGCCCCAGGCAGGAATCAGCCAGGCCTTGAAGCTGCAAGGCTTTGCAATAGTAATCAAGGTGGCCAATTGCAACACTTACCTCCAACAGACTTCTTTCTCCCACCTTGGAACTCATTCCACAGTTATATAAACCTCCCTTGCTTAGTTTCCAATATACCCCACAACTTCTGAGGATGCCTGCCATAGATGTGGGTGAAATGTCAGGAGAGAATGCTTCTGGAACATGACCATAGAGCCTGGAAAACTTACAGCAACTCAGATCTCTATGTTTCCAGAGTTTGATTGGAAAAGAGATTCTGGAGGTTTTTGGGTCACAGCAGTGAGTCCCAACACAGACCCTCTTCCTACTCAATTACAAAGCTATGGCCTGCTGTATGAGCTAATCATATAGCGCCACAACTTTAAAATGTTGCTTTCCGCTCTGTCCTTTTGTGAGCTGGATCAGAAATTACTCCTTCCTTCCAAGCATTTTTCTCCAAAGCATGAATAGGATACAGGTTGGGATAGACAAAATATACATTCAGGCTTTCGATGGCATGAAGTCAATACTGTACCATTTCGCATGTTTTGGTCTGTCATGAGCCGAAATACAGCCTGGTCGTCTTCATGTCCGTCCGGTTGTGCTATGAGGACATAGTTGGCTCTGTTTCGGAGGATTTGGGTGCTTTCACATTTTCCAGAATTGTTCCAGCTGTCGCATTCGAGATCTTCGAGTGAACGTTAAACATGGAGTCAAAATAAAGACTGTCAAAAATATAAACTGCACCAAGCACTTTATGAACACCTAATTTTGCACACATGCCTTATCAGATTGAAAACTGTTGGTGTTCCCATGTGCTCAGTCTTCCTCCTCTTGATATGGTGGGTTTCATCCAGAGCGAGAAACTATAACTTACTGTCTGCTTTCTGAACTTGGACATGAACTTGGACATGTAGCACAGCTGGTTAATCACCAGCAGCAATAGATTACTGCTAACCGGAAGTTGGAAAGTTCGAAGCCAAAGTTGGATTGAGCACCCAACTGTTAAGCCTAGCTTACTGTCCACCTAAGCAGTTCAAAAACAGCTGAGCTGTCAGTAGAGAAATTAGGCACTGCTTAAAGCAAGGGAGGTATTTTACAAAACCATCAAAAATACAATCAATCAAAGAACAAGGAGGAAATACCACAAACAAAAGGGCTCGGTGTCATAACAGATTAAGCAACAGCACCGCCCTATGGCAGGAACTGAGCATAACCTCCATGCGCCGAAGATGGAAAATACCAAAACACCTCTATCTGTCTGTCTGTGTTGTATATCTAAAAACAGGATTGAATGTTTGCCATGTATGTGTACATACACATACACACATATATCTTTGGAGTGAGAAGGGCGGAATATAAATACTGTAAATCAATCAATCAATTTCATGTGCAAGAAAAAAGTAAGCTGTAGAATCATGGTTTAGAACATGATAATCTATATATATATAAATGTAATGTTAGTTTGTGGGATTAACATAACTCAAAAACTACTGGACAAATTGCGGCCAAATTTGGCCACAAGACACCTACAAACCCAAAGAGTGATCATCACTCACATTTTTTTGTTGTCATTTGGGAGTTGTCGTTGTTGGAATTTATAGTTTCCCTACAATCAAAGAGCATTCTGAACTCCAGCAATGATGGAATTGAACCAATCTTGGCACACAGAACAATGACAAACAGAGAATACTGGAAGGGTTTGTAGGACATTGACCTTGAGTTTGGGAGTTGTAGTTCATCCAGAGAGCACTGTGGATGCAAACAATGATAGATCTGGAACAAACTTGGCATGAGTACTCCATGTGCCCAAATATGAACACAGATGGAGTTTGGGGGAAATAGACCTTGACATTTGGGAGCTGTAGTAACTGGGATTTATAGTTCACCTACAATCAAAGAGCATTCTGAACCCCACAAATAAGAGAATCGGGGCAAACTTTCTACACAGAACCCCCATGACCAACAGAAAATACTTAAGGCCATCCAGTCCAACTCCCTTCACCAGGGCAAGAAAATGTAATCAAAGCCCCCCTGACAAAGAGCCATCCAGCCATAGATATAGATAGATATATATGATTCACACACACAGAGAGAGATGGTATCATAGATTTGAAAGGGACCCCTAAAGAAAGACAATTATATGTTGCATGTTCCAGAGTAGGCAAACCAGACAATCTCCACATCAACACTGACAAAGAAGCAACAAGAAATACTGTTTACCCACAAGCAGAAAGACATTACATATATTAGAAACCAAAACTTTCTCATTACTTTATTTTCCAGCTCACGAGACTGGGCCACAGCAACATGTGGCAGGGGATAGCTAGTACTTCTATAAAAATAGCATGTAAAGCAGCTAACACATCTCATTCAACCAAACCCCGAATAATAACGAAATTAAATCAGTCATTATCATAAGTATACAATATCTGTATTGGATTTATGCCTTCTATCCTTGGCAAACTTTTTTTTAAAATGTATATATTTTAATTTGTCTTTTCATTATAAAATGCTGCATCCCAAGGTGATGTGGAAATACGGTACCTCTGGCATTTAAATTTGCTTGATGTGATTTTCCAGAAATTCGTGTATTGGTAGAATAATTTTAATGACGACATTGGCGCATTTGGCAAGATAATCTTAATGATGATGTTGGAACACTGGCACAATGGCAGAATAATAATTTTTTTTTTAAAAAGAGGGTGGAACATTGGCAGAATAATATTAATGACGACATGTATTAAATATGTAGTTTTCTGTTTTTGTATGTAAATCTGTTTGGTGAAAAACGTCATGAACACATCTAAAAACTGTAATTTTGACGACCAAATAAAACATGAAACCGTAATTTCTTACACAAAACTCAAACACCATAAATCCCTGGTACTACTGTATTTTGTAAAGAATGACAAGTTAATAAAGGAGGGAAAAAACCTTTTAACAATAACGATTAGTAATTAGGCTACAGAGCAATGAGCAGCAAAGGGTTGCTTCTACTTACCTTTGTCCTCTTGATCCCAACCAAGCAATGCACGCAGGAAGGAAGGAAAAGGGAGAAAAATTAGAATTTGGCACCCAGGACAATGTTCAATTGCTTGCCAACTTTATTTGACTCACTGTTTATTTCTCCCACAATGTAAACAATTGCAGTTTATGTCTCCCACAAAGCGAACAATTAAAGCATTCACTGGAAGTGTTTGATTGCCATGGACTGACTTTCTTTGCAATTTTTAATTCGAGCCCTCTTAAACCAAACCCCGAAAGAAATCAGACCACCTCATTCGATCGCATTCCCTGGACTGAAGAACTTTACCCACAACATGTGAGAAGATAATTCAAAAATATCGTATTATTCAGTGGATGCTTTCCTGGGGAATAATAATAATAATAATAATAATAATAATAATAATAATAATAATACACTTCGCGATACAAGGATTTAAAGATCGAACCATGATACGAGGATTTAAAGATCGAACTGCAAAAACTCTGGCACAAACCAGTAAAAGTGGTCCCAGTGGTGATCAGCACACTGGGTGCAGTGCCTAAAGACCTTGGCCTGCACTTAAACACAATTGGCGCTGACAAAATTACCATCTGCCTGCTGCAAAAGGCCACCCTACTGGGATCTGCACACATTCTTTGCTGATACATCACACAGTCCTAGACACTTGGGAGGTGTCCGATGTGTGATCCAATACAACAGCCAGCAGAGTAATCTTGTTTGCTGCGGACTCATCTTGTGGTGTTTCAAATAATAATAATAATACACTTTATTTATATTCCACTCTATCTCCCCGAGGGGACTCAGAGCGGATTACAGTATACACATATATAGGTAAACATTCAATGCCTTTTATACAGTAAGCAACAATACAGTAAGCAACAATAACATACAATATACACAAAGGTTTCCCTTTCTATTTCTGGCATCTCATGGTGATGCTCACCTTGATATGCAGAATGGGGGACGATGCCTGGCTTGAGAGCAGTACATGTGAAAAAGATCTTGGAGTCCTCGTGGACAACAAGTTAAACATGAGCCAACAATGTTATGTGACGGCAAAAAAAAAAAAAAAAGCCAATGGGATTTTGGCCTGCATCAATAGGAGCCTAGTGTCTAGATCTAGGGAAGTCATGCTCCCCATGCTCTATTCTGCCTTGGTTAGACCACACCTGGAATATTGTGTCCAATTCTGGGCACCACAATTGAAGAGAGATATTGACAAGCTGGAATGTGTCCAGAGGAGGGCGACTAAAATGATCAAGGGTCTGGAGAACAAGCCCTATGAGGAGCGGCTTAAGGAGCTGGGCATGTTTAGCCTGAAGAAGAGAAGGCTGAGAGGAGACATGATAGCCATGTATAAATATGTGAGAGGAAGCCACAGGGAGGAGGGAGCAAGCTTGTCTTCTGCTTGAGACTAGGACGCGAAACAATGGCTTCAAACTACAAAAAAGGAGATTCCATCTGAACATGAGGAAGAACTTCGTGACTGTGAGAGCCGTTCAGCAGTGGAACTTGCTGCCCCAGAGTGTGGTGGAGGCTCCTTCTTTGGAAGCTTTTAAACAGAGGCTGGATGGCCATCTGTCGGGGGTGCTTTGAATGCAATATTCCTGCTTCTAGGCAAGGGGTTGGACTGGATGGCCCATGAGGTCTCTTCCAACTCTAGGATTCTATGATTCTAGGTGCTCCTGTTCCATTTTCCTTGCCGAGGAGACTATTATCTGTAGACCCCTCCTGGTTGAATTGCCGGCATGGCTGCCTTTTATCTTCCTGCTGAGGCGGTACCTATTGACATACTAAGATTGCATGTTTTCAAACTACTAGGTTGGCAGAAGCTAGAGCTAACACTGGGAGCTCACCCTGACCTGCGGCTTCATACTGCCAACTTTCTAGTCAGCTAGATTTTTCTGCAGCTAGCGGTTTAACCCGCTGTGGTACCACAATTGGTTAGTTCCACTTCAGCTAAGAGTTTTTGTAAAAACTTTGGAATTTCGTCAGCTGCGGTACAAAAACACAATACAATTTCCAAGGTATGGTGAGATTAGCATAATAATGTCAGACTTCAGATCTGCTTAGGGATATATCAAATGTTACAAAATAGACACATCTGTATCAAAATTCCAAAGTGAAAAGGTGACTTGGGGTGGTTTCTAGACCTTAATTTCTCACTCAAGCTGACAGGTGAAAGGATGAGCCTCTACGCACATTCACATTTATGGAAAGAAGCTGGCAAAGACTTACCTTCTGCAAAAATGAGGATTCCATCACAAAGCCCCATTGGATGCATTGGCACTAGGTCGGAAGTCATTGTTGCAACCTAGGGAAGTTTAGGAAAGAGATGACTAGGTTAGAAAGGGATACCGTATTTCTTCCAAATATGCACCAAAATATAGGGCACTTCTCTCTTCCAATACTTTAGAATGCTTGTGACAAAACTGGTGCAGAAGAAGGAGAACTATAGTGACAGTAAAAACAAACCAATTAAAGATTTCCCTTCCACTTTCCAATGTTGCTGGGTTTCAGGTGACACGTATTTAATGAGTACATTAATGCTCAATAGATAACCTAATCTGCAAAATCTTTTTGGAGAGTCCTTTAGGAAGAAGACAGGTACTTCTAAACATTAATATTCCTGGGTTGTTGTAGGTTCCAGCTTGTCAATATCTCTCTTGAATTGTGGTGCCCAGAATTGGACACAATATTCCAGATGTGGTCTAACCAAGGCGGAATAGAGCATGGGGAGCATGACTTCCCTAGATCTAGACACTAGGCTCCTATTGATGCAGGCCAAAATCCCATTGGCTTTTTTTGCCGCCACATCACATTGTTGGCTCATGTTTAACTTGTCCACGAGGACTCCAAGATCTTTTTCACACGTACTGCTCTCGAGCCAGGCATCCCCCATTTTGTATCTTTGCATTTTGTTTTTCCTGCCAAAGTGGAGTATCTTGCATTTGTCAGATACAGATGTGTCACCGGCATTAAATGTTTGGAAAGCTCTGTTTTAGGTGACTTATATTATTCATTTCAGTTTGAAATTCCGGACTGTCTGAAGCTGTTTACACTGGCTTTATGTGCCCTGCCACCCTACAATTATAGGGTTGAGAGTACACATTTTAATAAGCGTTAGAGGAATACTTTAAAAATGACCACAGATGTTCAAAGAGACCGTAGTGTGCTTGTTCTTGGGTTGCTGTCCCAAACGGAAATGGTGAGGAAGTCCTTGCAGAGAAGCTCTGCTTACAGAACTGTCTGAAAGCAACCACAAATCTTCAGGGTTTCCCCAGACATTGGCTCGCTTTTGCAATCCATGTGCCGGCGTGATGTTTAGATGGGAGTCCATCTGCCTTTCCATCAGGGTAGCCTTTCTGGGGTGAGAAATCCTATCTTTCTCATGAAAGCAATAGCTTAAACAGTAGTTCAGATTTTTCTATTTGCCAGTTTTCGGCAGGCTTCCAAAAATTGATCTGGGTACCCAATGAAATTTGGATACCAAAAACGGATCACCCTCCAGCTGAATTGCACAAGCCTAATATTTGGTTAGTTACTCTTAAAGTGAGCAGCAGAGAGTTGTTTCTGCTTCTCTTTGTCCTCTTGGTCTCTGTTCTTTACCCATTCAGACTTGCATACAAATTCAGCTTAAGAACAAATCTACAGAACCTATCTTGTTCGTAAGTTGGGGACTACATTATTTCTGCATAGGTAGATCCCTGGGCAGGACTTTGAGGATCTTGGCAGGTCTTCCACCCAAAAGCATCTTTTTCCTATGCCAGTAATCGCCTGGAGCAAAGGTTGGCAGCAAGGGAGTCCAGCTCTGTGGTCTTTTCCAACCAGCTCCCAAATCCCCAGGACTCCTACCTTATGTCCAGCAGCAGCAGCAGAAGAAGAAGAAGAAGGAAAGGAGCTTTGAGGCTGAGCACTGCTGGGTTTGGCTAAGAAAGGCGGGTGAGAAGGAGAGACATCCTCCTCTTCCTCCTCCTCCTCCTCTTTCCTGCTTCTCTACCCACAACCCTGGTTTCCACTGGCCACGCGTGGGAGGAGGGCTCTTCTTCCTCCTCCTCCTGGTGCTGGAACTTCTGCTTTTCATACAATTATTTTTGCTTGGCAAGCTTCCAAGCCTTTCCAAAGTTGGCAAACAAAGCCATAGTAACAGGAAGCAGAACAAGATTTGACACTGTAGAATGAATGAAGTTTGACGCCGCATGCGGAGCCGTGAGGATTTTGTTGGTACAAGGCCTTTGGATGTTCAAATACCACGATGTCCCGACAAACTGCAACTTCCATGTTCAATAGATTACAGGTTGAGCATGAGCCAACAATGTGATGCCGCAGAGAAAGAAGCCAGTGAGATTCAGAACTGCATCGAAAGGAATCTAGTGTTTACTAGATCAAGGGAAGTCATTGTGCTCCTCTGTTCTGCTTTGGCGGGACCTCTTTGCCGGGAATAATAATGTGTGTCCAATTCTGGGCAAAGCAATTCAAGAGGGATAAAAACCCACGAGGAATTGAAAAACACATACAACAACATTTCATGCTTACATTACTTACAAATTAAAGAATACTACGAGGGGTATTTTTTAAGTAAGGTCCGTTGGAACATAAGTACACAACGAAAGTTTATTTCAAAAAAGTAAATTTATTTTCAGAAAATACATACTTCACTCTATTTTTTGACATAGTTGCCAAGTTTGTTCAAACACTTATCATACCTCTGAACCAATTTTAAAATACCCTCTTCATAAAAACTTGCCGCCTGCTCCGATAACCAAGAGTTCACTGTAATCAAAGAAGGGCGACCGGAGCGGTCCTCATCATGGACGTTGTCACGGCCATCTTTGAATTGTCGTACCCACTTACGCACTTTGCTTTCACTCATAACAGTCTCACCATACACTTCACAAATCTGTCGATGAATTTCTGCAGCAGGCAGGTTCCTTGCTGACAAAAACCGTATCACTGAGCGAACCTCACATGCGGAGGGTGAGTTGATAGTCTTAAACATTTTTAAAGCACAGAACAGAACCGTACAGGTTAGCTACAGAGTGGAAACTGAGCACAGTTGTTCCAGAGGCATGCCGGTGCACGACGCACACACTCGTTGCAGTATGCGCGCGAACTACTAGTGTCTACAACAAAACGGACCTTACTTTAAAAAATACCCCTCGTATAATCAAGATAAGAAGGTAGGTTTGAACCTAAAAGAAGAAACTTGGGATAAGATACTACAAACTGAAAAAAGGTACGGTAATTACGAAAATATATAATAAACTGTTAGAATGGGCAACGAAGACAGAAGAAGTAAAGTCATGCATGATTAAATGGGCAGAAAATTTGAGAAGACCAATCCACTGTCTTTAACACCAATGTATCAAGGCAGCCAAAAAGAACAACTAATTCTAATCATTTTAAATTTTGTGTGCATGAGAGAGAGAGAGAGAGAGACAGAGACAGACAGACAGTGTCAATATTTTCCTGGAATCGTAGGCACAAGTCTGTCCAAAGCAATAATGAGAAGGAACTGAAAGAGGGAGAGGAAGCTATGGGCTCTTTTCGTGTTTGGATTTTGCACCGCGATTGCCTTTGGTCCTGGAAATGTCAGTGATGGTATGCGAGAAATGAATCAGAAGGCCAGAAAGGGTTGGGTTGAGTTTTAGTGTCTTGTAAAGCGGCCGATGACGGGAGAGGCCTTGGCTGCTCGATACGACGATTTGGCAAGATTATGAGCCATAAACCTCTTGTTTATATCAATCTACACACACCCACACACATATAAAACGCCTGGTCCAAGGAACACACTTGCCTCTAAGACGTGATTGCCCTTCCAGTGTTGGTTTCTAATATATGCAATTTCTTTATGCTTGTGGATAAACAGTCTTTCTTGCTGTTTCTGTGTCAGTGTTGATGTGGAGATTGTCTGGTTTGCCTACTCTGGAACATGCCACATATCATTGCCCTTCTTTAAGGGTCCCTTTCAAATCTATGATACTATATCTCTCTGTGTGTGAATCATATCCATCTATCCATCTATCTATATCTATGGTTGGATGGCTATTTGTCAGGAGGGCTTTGATTATGTTTTCTTGCCCCGATGAAGGGAGTTGAATGGGATGGTCTTAAATATTTTCTGTTGGTCGTGGGGGTTCTGTGTGGGAAGTT